TATTTATAATCAGTTCTTATATTTAAGATCATATTATAATTACATTCCAATAAAAGGTTCTGTAAGCTTATTTAAAACGATCTTAAATATAGGAAAGATTATGAATATTATGTATCAAACATTAATTTTCCGTAACAATTTATAGCAAATATATATGTTATGTTGTAAATATTTTATGCGTGAATAATATTTCTGTCTCGTATTAGAGACATCATGTCTTGTTATGCCAAGCCGAGTAATAAAATTATGCAAGGTGACATTAATGAAATCTCACATTGTTATTTTAAAGTATGAAATATTCTTAGAAAGTATTAATCAGAAATATACGCATCAGAAACATCGATATAAAAGTATGAGAAATGCATGTATATTTTTATAAACAAAAATTAATATAAATAATGCTATATAAAATTATTTCCTTTACGCAAAAGCGCGAACAAAACGAATGGACATGCATTTAGTTTCAAGCTGCTCATCTTCGAATATAAATTATCCAATGAACCCAAATGGTCATGTTTATCCAAAAAGTTATTAAAAATCAGTTTACATGCAACATATTGCGATAAACACATGTACATAAATAAAAGGAAAACATGTAATATATAATATAAGAGAACATATAAATCTCGCAGCTGTAAGAACGAGGCACTGCCTACAAGTATAATTGTGCGTCTCTCGGCTCTCCTGTTCTGACAAATAAACCAGAAGAAATCGAGCATCCGCACGGCAAACCGCGTAACGCCGCGCAATGAAAGTTCATCGGGTTGATCGTTCGTGAATAGCGGTCGCGTTTTCGAGATCGGGCAACAATCGCGGTCCGCACGCTAGGTCCACCGACAATGGGACATTCTTTTTTTACTACAATGTTCAATCATTGTGATAAATGTCAGAAACGTCGCAGTTACAATCCTTGATCGGTATATACCGATGTTTTTAAACAATCTCACATGCAACTAACAGCTAAATCTTTCACTCTACTCGGATTCTATCGATATCCTTCGCTATTTTAGTACTTTTTGTTATAGCGACTATACTCAACAATTCAATAAATATATTTTTTTAATACATCATGAAAAAAATCAGCTCATAATTATTTCATCTCTCTTAAATAATACAAAAGTTCACAAAATATCTTATAAATGTCTTATGTGGTGTTTGTATTATTTAAGCTGACTCTAATTTATTTAAGTGAACTTAATCTCTATTAAATTTGGAGTGGAAATTTAACATCTCTAATACTCCTTTTGAAGCAAAAAAATAATTATATTATGTCGTTTATATATATATATAATGATCATTTGATATATGATAAATATGTGATAATAATAAAAAAAAACAATATCTCATTGATATATGTATTACAAAAGAATAAAAAATATTTTATACTTTTTTTTCCTATTATCAGTGAGATATGAATCACCCATTATTTTTATCTCGTAATATAGATATATGATCCCTTTACGTCTTAACAGTTAAGGATTGATACGATGAATACAATCGGGCGAATACTCAATATGAGTCAAATCATTTGCAGTCACGCTTGTAATCTGCGCAGCGTCTCGAGCGAGCGATTTGACGACGTGACTGACGACGTACCCGATCTCGATGAGCGCGCACGGCCGACACTTGTTGCATTTTGATTAAAGCGGATGCAAGGAGGGAGCGGGGCGGGCGGGGGGGGTGGAGGTCGCGCGAGCCTCGCGCACCCCGCGAACCCTTACGAACGACTAAAGGAGGCTCATTGCTCTCGCTCTTGATGGAAAAAGTTCGTCGGCTACGTAAAATGAACAGAGGATATGCATTGTATGTGTGCAATGTTCCCATGTTAACCGTCTATCTCTCTTTCTCTCTCTCTCTCTCTCTCTCTCTCTCTCTCTCTCTCTCTCTCTCTCTCTCGTTAGGTAGGTAAGTTCCTGAAAATTACAATCGCACCGTGCGCGCGCACGACTCTCGGTGGAGCCGCGTCTTTCTTTCTTTCTTTCTCTCTCTCTCTCTTTCCTTCTTTTTCTTCTTTTTTTTAGATATTACCCATACGCAAATACATAATATTTACACAGACATTCGGTCCGCCTGTTTCGTTTTAATGATTTTCACAAGATACGCTTCATTTCGACGACACTACACAGTCGCGCACATGTGTGTAACTCTCCCCATTTCCCCCCAATCTCCTTCTCCTTTCTTGATATTTCTGCGGCAGATGCGCTATTGTTCCGCTTATTATCACTATTCTTCCCGATCTCGTTATCTGTATCGTCTTCATCCCCGTAGAAAAACTATCTTCCGTACTTTCGAACCTCTTTTCTTTTATCTCTTCTTCGCGCGTTAAAAAGGAATATAAAACTATCTATAAAAAGATTACGCAAGAATTCGGTGAATTATCGACGAGCGCCACGACTCACCTTGCGGAGTTGTCTCTTTGGAATTTTCATGTTAAACGTTAACAAAACATTTATTCCTCTTAGTCCCGATATGAGCACGGAAATAAGTGCATTGTGTGAGGACTCGAAATGTTTTTTAGTACTCGATTGAAACGGCGTTCGTCGAAATCCACGCGTTTGTATGTTTTTTTACGGTGTTTACGTAAGACTAAGTCGATTCCTTATGAAATACGTCAAACGCATCTCATTGAGGATTTATCCGGATACATTATGAGATGCATTTCGAATCGCAACAAAAAATTTTGCATGTGAAAGAATGTTTTGGTATCGCGAAATTTTTCATAAACATGATCTGTCACAGTCTTCCCATTCCTCTCTCTTTCTTTTTCTCTCTTCTTTCTTTCCGCATTTTCGATTTACTCGCTCATTTATGACAGTGCTCATCGTTTTATCCTCTCTTTTCCTTTTTTTTCCTTCGCACGCATTCATACCCATACAATAGTAAACACGCGCGCGCTTTCTTCTACTTGTCTATCCCTTACTATTCTCTCGCAAAATAACTTATATAATACCTATATCCAATATATTAGATATTAAATAATAACCATATCAATATATTAATTTTAAATAATATGATTTTCAACAAAGCGCCCGCTACACTCAACAAATAAAATCAACATGATTCGTGAAATTCTCATAGAAATTATTCATCAATGATTTCGTGATAAATTTTAGTACGTCGCGATAATATTAATGATTTGCATAAAAAAAAGTTAAGTTCTCGTTTATGAATATGTTTTGGTTGTTTTTGGCATTCTATCGCGAGTACTGACTAATTGCTAATATGTGAATTCTTTATAAATCAAAATCATATATATGTATATATATATGTACATACATATATATGTATACATACCTAAGTTATAGGCGATAATATACAACTACAATTCTCTCTTGTTATAGATCATAGAGATCGTTACAAATAAAAATAAAAAGAATAATTATATATATATATAGAAATCAAAACTGCATGTAGAAGCGCGACTCGCGGTATGTGACAGGTCAAAACACAAACGTCCCTGACAATTAAATGTCTATGTCTCCCGATTCTTGGAAGGAGTCATTATTGTATTAAAAAAACGAGCAAATAAAAATCTCCTTATTAAACATAGACGCAGCCTGTTGTAGATAGAAATGGCTCAATCTGTAAATCTTTTCGTCAAAATGTTTTGATCATTATATATTGCTATATTAAAATGGAGTAAAAACTCTAATTTTATATCAGTACTTTATAACTTTAGCTCAAGATGTAAAATGTTTTAAAGTACCATACTGACACTCATAGATTTTTAAAAATATTTAAAAGTCAAATGTCTCATAATGCCAACATATTCAAGATATTTGTACAAGATATTATTCAAACATGATTTTTTTTCTATGAATGTAAGTTAATTCGTCACAATACGGATCAAGCCATTTCAAATCTTGAAACATTTTGTTTTCGGCACTATCCGTAAAAATGCATTTTACATTATAACGATCACGTTTACAAAGATGACGTATGTGCGCGGGTCGGGAAAGAAGTCGCGTCCCCAAGACAGATGCAAACACACCATAGGACAATGGAAGTGTAATGTCGCACATGCTTGATGTTCGCTTCTTATATCAGCCGCTCGGGCCTAATTAGAGAGTTCGGTAGAGCACTTATACATATATATAACGCCGTTCTCGCTAAATAATCGCAATTTCGTCCCTGCTTTTGATTCCTTATCTTTGAAACTGTTCGTAGGTTCCCTTCAAGTTAAGGCGCCATGACGCACGACATTACGGCATCGTGCATTTGTTATCTCCTATGTGAAAAATATCCATTTAAATGTTGTGTAAAATGCTATCTCACAAAAAATATGATTCTCTCTATAAAATTGTCAAATTCCACTAACTCGCCTAGAAACAGCTTATACACGTTATCGAGATTATACGTTGATTTCATTCGTGTCGGCGAAAGACAGAGTATGGGGGCGAAAGTTTGCAGTCGCCCATAAGAGGAACGTGCGGATAATGCCATTCTTTTGAAAAACATCGTCCGGAACTTGTAATTGATCTATATGTTTCGGCTCGAGTGCTCAGCGTGTTTCTTCATACACAATTCGCCGACATGAATTCTGTGCAACATCTATCACCAGAATTAATGAACGATTCATCATGATTTCTATGGTATCGCAGACGAGCAGGATAGAAAGATCGATAAATATAAGCGGCGCGATAAAAAGTTAGCCTTACAATATACGCGATGTACATGAGGTGTCGTTCTCTTTTTTTGCAAGTCTTCTTTGACGCGATATTTTAAAAATCTTTCTACGTTTAAGGATAGGAAGAAATCCAATTGTTCTCGAAGCATCCGCGCACATCTACTTTTTCACTCTCACTTCATTTATTTTCGGCAGAATCAAATGTTCTTCCATAAATTGTTTTTCTAACAAACAGGTAAAATGTAACGTGACGGAAAAGCGAAGAAAGTAAATTCTATACGTGCTTACGGAATCGGTAATTTATTACAAAAACAATTGGATTTCGTCATCCCTTGAAATCAAGACAAATCGATCAACAGCGACGCAATTATGCTTGAAAGGAGACCTGCGGTCAGTTTCAATGTGTGACCTAAGCTTCCTCGGTTTGCATCTTACAGGAATTCGAGTCATCCGGGGTTCTTCACGAGTTTCTTCCCGCGATAATCGTAAACACGTCGGCAGAAAAGTACCATGTCTGATGGTACTGGTATAGGAGGCTGCCGATTCTCCCTTGGATACACTTGGTCCCCCTGGCGGAACTATCAAGCCAGGATTTTCTAAGCCTTCTTCGATTCTTCGTAAATTTTTACGATACCTGTAATATAAAACCGACATACGCCAATATAGATAACCTAATCTTGCTTATTTAAAAGAGAAAAAAAATTACGTTTTTCGATATCAACTTCGTGAATAATAAAAATTTATATGTAGTGAACTTTGATATTGGTTTATTACTATCACAAGTTTAAGAAATGTACGTATATACAAAAAAAAACGCGAAAGGCTTTAATTATTTCATTAGTAACATATAATTAGCAACACATATAATTTATTCTTTAAATTTAATTACACAATTTGCTAATCCGTAAAAAAGTATTGCAAATACTTTTTAAAAAATAAAATATATTCTTCAAGTATAAATAAATTAAATTTTATTCACATCACAATAGAGAGGAATTACTCACCGACAATATTCATTAAACGTTAGGATATAACATTTGTCTTCTATGCAAGCGACGCTGTTTGCGTCCCGATGACGCGAAGCAAATACCTCATCCTCGCTATCGTGTGGCGTTCGGCCCTGTTCTGTGTGCTCAGGTCTGTAGTACCACAACAACGAGAACATCATTTCACCTAAAAGCAGAACATCGTTATGTTAACTCATCAAATTTGGAGGAACATTTCTGCGTTCTCAAGGGATCAAGAATATCTACCGTCGTCCGGATTCTCCCAGAGCGCCGCGATCTTTGCTACATACGGTAAATCACCTTTTCGCGTACCGCTCTTCAGCAATACGCAGTCCCGAGGTCGCAATACGTCGCCACTCTCGTGACTCATACTCGCGTAACATCGCCGTATAGCTGTTTCCTCGTTCTAAAGTGACACAACATTTCAAAATCAGTCAAATTCTATCAGCCAATCGGACGATATGTTTAGACTCGAGATAACAAACCATTTGTCACGCATATGGCAATTATCTAATGCAAAATTCCACAGACCACCAATTTGTGATCGTCTAAACGTGAATCAAAATTATTTTGAAACGCTTACGATGTATACATTTTTAATCAAATATTATTCTGTAAATTCCACAAATTTCGCATAATTATTGTAATTAATATATATATATATATATATATATATATATATATATGCAACTGTATTTCTTCAGGATTATTTATATACGTAAAAGTAAATATGTGAAGATCACATATAAAATCGATTAATTTTTCTAAGGTATCAAAATATATAAAACAATAAAAAGAAATTTGTTATCATTGTTTTATAATTCAAATTTTTTCCTATTATTGCTACAATGATCTTAATATAATATCAAAATCCAAATAAAATCTTCGTAAGTCGCAAGTATATCAAGATGTAATTATTCTTACCGTCAGATAAACTTTGGCTTCAAAGGGCTCGCCCTCCCAACTCCATCCGTTGTTCCACTTCGGTTTCAGGAACGTTTTTCTCGTTAATGTCAGGCTCTCATTTCCGAGCGAGGAATTTTCTACTTTGCAGCCCGACTTCTTGGCGTTTGTCGCCTTCTTCGCGTTCTTCCGCTTTTTCTTAATTACGGCCGACTTTTTCGGATCTTCATTGACATCACTCGCTTTGGTCTTGGACACAGTATCGCGCTTCTTCGAACTGTCCCGCGATTTCGAGTCTTGCGTCTTAGATTTTGTATCCTGCGCCTTCGTCTCCGTCACGATTTTGCCAATCTTGCCTTTGCCAACCTTGACCTTACTGTCCTGCGAAGCTTTCAACTTGAGCTTCGTATCTGCCTTGCTTTTAGTCTGACTATTCTTCGAAACCGCTTTTGATACTTTCTCGATAGCCTGCTCCTTCACCTGATCGACTTTCTTCGCGAGCTTCTTCGTCGCCGGTGACGATTCCTCTTTGACATTCTTCTTCTTCTTTTCCATGCGCTCGCAGTTTTTGCCTTTGCGATCCTTCCTTTGCGTCATCTGCAGACTTTGCTGTATCACATTATCGATGGTCTCCATTATCGAAATATCACTTGCGGTCCGTTTCAAGCAATTCACGATGTTCTGCTTGCCGTTTTTCACCTTCTTAGTCGCGCTCTCGTTCACGCTCGACGTCTCCGCCTTGCGTTTTTGACCTCGAAATCCTACGTCTTTCTTCGCTTGTTTCCTCTTCGGAACGATCGTCTCAACTTTGTCGGCTTTATTCGGCAACGGCTCGATCGGCGCGACGATGTCGACCGATTCCTCGTTATTCACATCTTGAGACGAGCCGACCGAAAGGGCTCTTTTGCTCAGCTTCCTCTTCTTCCTGCTGTCCGATAAGCTATCTAACGAGAGCTTCCTCTTCGTCACCTTTTGGCACTTGGGCTGTTCCTCGGCCTCAGCTTCGGCCTCGACCTTGGTCGTGATCGGTCTCTGCAAGATTTCCTCTTCTACCTCCCCTTCTTCCTCTTCCTCTTCTTCTTTATCCTCGACGGTCTCCTGCACGGTCGGCTCGTAATCGGGCTTTTTCCAGTTCTCGTCGCTGTCGATCACCACCACGTCCAGTTCCTCCTTCACGTCGGGATCACCGTCGAGCTTGTCGTCCAGCACGATGCCGGAGTCCTTGTCCATCTCCAGTATCGCTATCTGTCCTTCCTTCATGCACTGCTCACACTTCATGATATCGCACTTATAATCCGACTCACATTTGACAACGTTGCAATTGGCGACGCACGGCAGCCCGTCGATCTCCATACTGCAGGATTCACACTTGACGTTGTTGTTCTCCAGCTTGAAGTTATGATACTTGCTGCTGGGACAGCTCGCCGCTACCGACAGTTTTTCAGTGGGCGACAGCGTTTCCATCTTGACCTCGCAGGTGGACGTGCACGCGTTCTGACAACCGCACTTTCTCAGCGTGTCTTCTGTACAATTTTGCTCATCCTACGGGAATGGCAGAAGGAAAATTCGCTAGTTTGCACGTGCGCAACTCCGCCATCATCGCGCAATAAATTCGCGAATCGCGAATTTTTGGAAAAAGAAAAAAAAAAAAAACAATCTGCGGTCTTTTGTTTTCAAATTCGTTAATTCTATCAAATGTTTTAGTTTTGACAATATCGACAGAAAAATAAAGCAGTGATTCAATTTTCTCCCGGTAACCAAAATATTTGATAAATTTATAAATCAATTTATTCAAGCGGACGGGATACATACAGAGAGAGAGTGTGAAATCTAAAAATCCATACATCTGTAACAAGATGCTATTCTAAACGTACTGAATTCGAAACAATATTATTTCCTTTACTAACATTGTTATTACCGAAAGGGCAAAGAGATTATTGTATTATAAAATTAATTTGAAAAACATGTAAGATACTAATACCATGATCTTTGCTTAATTAAAATATATATAAATATTCTATCAGATATTCCGTTTTGCAACATAATATTAAACATTAAAAATTTAAATCATTTTTAAACTATATTTGTATGTTCAAATTTCCACCAAAGAAATATCGTCAAATGTACTTTATATGTATTTAAACTATGACGATCGAATCTGTACTTTTACACACATTTTGCCTCAAATCGGCCGAAAGTCAAGATATGATCGAAGAGGATTATCGAGATTAGTCACTTAGGCGCGAGAGAGTAAGAACACGTACCTTACTTCTACAGTCTTGATTCTGAAGGCGACTATGCCCACCGACTATATTGTGCGACGGTGGGACTGAGGGGGGTTGGTTCTGATTTAGGTTGCGATGAGTGTTAATTTGGACGCGATCCGTATCCCAGGCGTTGGCACCGTGAGGGGGAGCTAGCCCGGCTAGCCCCCTCGCCGGCGAGGGCGGACCTACCAAAGCACTGGGTGGCAATGACAGACCGGGCCCCGATACCACTGGCGCTCCCTTACCATTACCAATAAGGGCCCCAGTATCCACGTTTTTTGGACACGATTGCATCGGGCATGGACAACCCTGAAAAGCTGTGGCACAAACAAGATCGGTAAATGCGCGGGCCCCCGCACTTTCTCCACTCAAGTACTTCAGATGAGGGAGCGTATGATGTTTTAACAATTAAATGCACAAAATTCATCAATCATTTTCAATTCGAATGCAGTATTCGTATTTGTCTGAATTCATATTATCTTCATCCAAAAGTAAAGTTCGTTTGTGCATATATATTTCTATATATATTTCTTTTGACAGTGTCTTTCTTGTTTGAATTATTAAATCTTGCCAAGTTGACTCAAGAATAGTCACGAAAACGACTTGACTTATTGTTTTTATAAAAATTCATTTTATTAATAATTTATTAGAAAAAAATCAATGTGGAGATGCATTATTTAGAAAATCTTAATTATTCAAGGAGCGATCTGACGAACACATCTCTTTTACAATTTTATTTGATAAATAAATTATTATCGACAGAATGTTTCTTATAAATAAAATATACACTTATAAATATTACGAATAAAAAGTAAAAATTAAAAATAGTTCGTTGCGAGAATAGAAGAAAAAATATATTGACAAGCTTAATTACACGATAAAGAATATTTAAATGAAATAATAATTGAACTTAAAGCGAACTTACTGTAAATAATTTCAAACTCTTGCTCAATGGCAAAAATCACTCTCTGTAATAATATTTTCTTCATAGTATTAAATGATAAGAAAAACAAAAATAATAAAATAATTTTCTTAAATCACGAGTAGCGTCACATGAAACCAGCCGCACTCCCGAGTAGTTTTGGACTGACTGAACTGGTCATATGGTTTTCTATTTTCCTATGGTCCTCTAGTGGTTAAAATACATCACTTTGACGCTTTCTTTTAATGGTTTGTTAATGGTTAGAATAGTCCTACAAAACTCTAACAAAAGAACAATACGTAGGGTCATATAAATCCAATTTCCTTGAAATATCTTTTGAATATTGTAACTTTGAATATTTTATTTTAAATATTGGATTTTCGCACTTTTATAAAGAGACTGAGAGTCACAGAATTGATGAGTTTTCACTCAAAGATACGAAAAGATACGGAAATATCCTGCTGTACTTGAAAACCTTTGAAATTTTTTCTTCTTTTCATAGAATTCAGCAGGGATACCTGCGGCATGTAGAGGAAAAAAGAACGTTTTATCTTTTTCCAACTATTTTAGGCACTATTTTGGGACATGTATTATAGCAAAAATATTGAAAATATCTAGGATAATTACCAGAACCGATACGGATTAAGTGCTTAATAAAACCTCCGGATGTCATAAAAATTTAAAGATTCAAAAATTCTTCACTAAATAAATACATTTAATTATTCAGTAGTAATTTTAAGCGTACAAATTTAAATTTAAAGCATACAATATTATATTTCTCGAAGCGGCATCTTAAATCTGGCAGCGGTAGTATAATTTATGACGAAAACTCGATATCTCTTTAAAAAGAAATTTACAATTTTTAATACAAAAAAAAAAATAATCTGCATTGAAATTACACACTTCAAAAAGAGAAATGGGCATACTTCTGCCTATATCTTTTTCTAAAAATAATTTTTAAAAACTAATTTCTTCTTAAATAGAAGAAAATATCAGATTTTTATTTTAAATGCACTTACATTCCGTTAAATTCAAAAGTAGACATTTGTAATGAATAAGTGTATGTTAGTTCATAGCGTGTCAAATTTGTTGATGCAACTTTCTATTTTCTCGAATAAATTTTAGAAAAGTATCGGTGAAAGCGGAAGAGAGAGAAAGAGACGACGGGAAGAAAATGAGATGAAATTTCTGGATTTTTCGCTGTTGCACAGCGTGTCACGTAGGTCTTTTTTAGCAAATGACGATACTTACGGTCTACGAAAGGTCTTCCCTGAGAATGCAGATATGCCGGATTCGGAGGAGGTGGCGGTGGCGGATGAGGAGGCGGAGGATAACCTCCGTAATAGGGTAGCGGATATTCGCCGGGCGGTGGCGGAGGTGGTTGGTAATCGACAACTCCAGGGCCACCTCCGGCGGCTCCGCTGCCCGGCGGCGGCCCGCCACCTCCACCGGACTCTTGATAGCCATAGTATTGCCTGAAAAGATATCTTCCTTTACAAAGTGTATTTACATCGAAAGACAAATACTAATATCTGTGCGTCTCAAATATCTGATTCGTCCTTATATGCCGGCTTCTTACTACGTGTAGGTGACAAAATAAAAACTGTCAGGAAAGAAAAGATAAAAACTAACAGAAAAGAGAAGACGCTCTTGTCTTAGAATTGTACCGTAGTATCAGTAATTGTAGTAGAAACCTTAAAGCTCAAATTAAATCTCGAAATCGATATTCATCTGTATAATTTTGTTTATTAAAAACATTTTCTGATCAATTTAATGCAAATTTTTTCGGAAAAAAAAAACATTGTAGCATTGAAAGATTAGAAGAAATTATGTGTATGATATAGACTTTTTCATGATAAATATTAATTTAAGCAAATTAAGCAGTTTTAATTAAAATTTAACATAACTATAAAAACATTGACAATTTAGTTTCGGAAATGTATAAAACAAAAAAATATTTTTTCACGGCAATATCACAAATAATTAAAAAGTCACCGAGTGTATCAAAATTTGCCATTTAACTTCCGCGACTTTTGCGGCAAAAAGCAACTTTGCCACGCTCTAGTTGCAGCTTTCACTTCTTCATTAAAACCGAGATAACGATGGTTTCGAAAAGTTAGCACCATCTGCGACCTAAATATATTGCAATGTGACATAGAATATTCTGTTTGTCATAGATATGTTTGTTGTTAAAACTGAATATTATAACAATATTGAAAAAAAATAACAGCATTGATATCAATGCATATCCGTAAAATATAAGCACTAAATTTACATGCTTTTTCGTATGCATTTTCAAGCAATCTGAATAACGAAATTTACAATGTTATCGAACGATTTTGTCAATATCATATCGTGTCAATTTATTTCGTAACTATTTAAAAACAAGTGCATCAAATCGGAATTTTATATGATACATTTTTTCCATTATCATTTTACCTGTTTTGTGAAAACTAATCCAAAACTGCGCGTGGTTAATTATAAATGTAAACAAAAACAATTCTTGTACCACGAGAAACGATAACATTTAGCGCGAGATACAGTCGTGTTTAATTTATTATACATAACTCCTGCACAATTCAATATTTAACATTTTACCGCAAACCGCGTTATGAACATTTATAGTGAACATTTCTCAACAATCTCCTATTCGAAAAAGCAAATTATCATTACAGTAGAAAAAATAAAAACAATTTAATTAGACTCCAACTGACTCTTTTCCATGTGTATACAATATGTCTCATTTTATTTTAAACAGTTAAATATTTGAAAAAACCATGGGATTGTAAAAAAAATATTCCATATACAAAAGTTGTAAGGATTCGGGGGGACTACTTGATATTGATTCATTCACAGACAACATCATTATTGAAATTTTTATGGTTTTTTTTAAACGGAATCATATATTTTTTGTTACGTAATATGATTCCTTTCGTTATTTTAGATATAAAGGTGCAAATGTCAAAAAGTCAATTCACGGGATATCTTATGCTTTATTTTGACATACTCTGACATAAAATATAAAATATCTGGTCAACTCATTCGCTCTTTGATAACCGTACTTTAATACTTTTGTGCATGGAAAAATGAAACAAATAATTTAATGTAAAGAAAGCATACATAGCTTTGCATACGTAAACCTTACAGAAGTCAAATTTTGATCATAAACTCCATAAAATAAAAAGAGAAAAATGGAAAAAAATAATTACGATAAATTCCGATATATAATTAAAGAATCAAGAAGTTCAAGGCAAAAGTAATAGCTGATCAATTTGGCTTCCGAGAGCGGCACACACGACGCCGTGGAGCAACGAGATACGTTAACAACGTTACGTAATGATTATGATCTTTAAGATTAATGTGTCACTTAAACGCAAACAGATTCCCGATAATGTTACGACAACAACGTAACGGCGCATACGCCGTTACTTCAAAGCGGCGGCGTCCCTCGGTCCCCTTTCTGCCACGCGTCATCATGCAAGGCGTCGAAACGCGAATAAATCTCTTACCTCCTGTAAGTGGGCGGGTATTTGTAGTAATGCGGCGGATGAGCGTGAGGATGAGAATACGTCGCCGGATAACACAGATCCGGATACTGCGGCGGCGTCCCGTAGTATGTCTGCGGGCAATATGTCCTATAAAAGCCTCCACCTGTAACAAACGACCGTTCATTCGTCCCATGCGTGTCCCATCGAAAATGTACAATGATCGATTTCGCAAAACAACGAAAAAAAACTTCGTTTTGACAATCAGGCGATAAACGCCCTACCTCGCGAGACGTTAACGGATAGATTGTTAGATCATTCGCGCCCTATTTGCCCTACTTGGAAAATTATTATACGAAATATTAATATTTAAATATCGCAGATCTCGAATCTTCTACGGAAAAAGGAAGAGAGAAAAAATGCCAAAGACAGATAAGTCCAAGCGAAT